GCATGTGCTCCTAACAGAAACCGATATCCGTATCGTACGGTCCTGCATAACCGTTCCGTAGAATACGTTTCAACGTTTTTTCTCTGGTACAAAACCTAAATCCGTTTCTTCACAAGGCAAAAAACGTTGAAGCGTATTCTGCGAAACGGTTATGCAGGACCGTACGATACGGATATCGGTTTCTATTAGGAGCAAATGCCAAAACCGATATTCGTTTTGTAAGCTACGAATTTTTTTTGAAGAGTAGGAGAGCAGCAAGTACAAACTCTTTTTAGAAGGTAAGATTGGGAAAAGAGCTTTGGAAAGTCCATTGAGGGTTTCATAATTTACAATACGAATGTATTTGTTTTTGTACAATCGGGTCCAGGGAAAGCGTATGCCACGCCGCAACCATGTTAGATGAAGACTTTAGATGATTTCCGTTTTTTAGAGTACACTGGAGACTATTTGTCCATCTAAAAGAATTAATACATTACTAGTTTAAAGTTTTTAACTCAGAACGGATTTTCCAGAGACATTGTCAAAAGTCTTTATCGTAAAATACTTTGCTATTCAGCTCCATTTAAAGTAAGCTTTAATTCGATATATATGAAATATGTGTAAGTCTGGTTGTTTAGGCTGTACCCTAGAAAAGAGTGTTATACTATTCTGCTATTCTCCTAGTCTGCTATAGTAATATACTGTTACTCTACTATTCTAGTCATCTTTCTAATCATTATCCTGCAACTTCAGTCGTAATAGAATTCGCTAATACTCATACTGCCCTGCTGATTCAGCGTAAAAAATATTGTTGTATTCTGTTTATTTTGTACACTTCTAGGTGCCCAATAGAATACTGAACAAACTGGAAATTTCTATGTAACTCGCTCAGGTATGACCTCCTCTTTCGAAGTAGCTAACAGTAAAATCCAAGACAGATTAATGGATTGGTTCTAAAGTAAGTTTTTTAAATTCAAATGTGTACGCACGAACACATTGTTGATTAATATCACAATTAAATATTCACTGACGCAACAATCCGAGTCTTGCGTGCACGATTCACCTACATCCTTACATGGAAGGCCTAAAAAATAACAAACAAACAAAAAACCTTATCACAGTCTCAAATTTAGTTATGTTTCGTCATCAGTGGTTGTGAAATATGGTTTGTGTGGCTTTGGTCGAAAACTCATAACAACGAAAGTGAAAACGCAGAATGGATAAGATCGAAAAGCAGAATGTCGAACGGAGGTGTCATGACCAAAACGCATCGGTGTCCTTTTCGTTTTTTCAGCCTGCATTTTTTTCTCCAGCCGAAAAAACGTACCCCCTCATAGATATTTAGATATTTCGAAACGGACCCCGCCTAGATACTTAGATATTTCGAAATGTACCCCTATCCTAGATATGCACACCCACTAGATATTTAGATATTTACAGTTTGTGCAGGTTCACATTTTATAGGTCTTTTGGATAGTAAATTCGTCTTGGATTCGTTTCGGTGGGTTGTTCCTGTCGTATGCTGGCATAAATCGAGGTGCCATTGTTTTAGTTGCTGAAGTATGTGTGTTGGGGGGGGTATGCTGACCTTTCTGACAGCTTGTGATGACTCTGCACAAGGTATTGCACGCGGACTGTAACGGATTGATGTTTTTGTAATGATAACTCATTGACAGCATTGGTTAGACTGGAAAGTCGAAATCGCGGAGAACTCCGGGACTCGCTACGCTTCTCTCGATGTTTGTCGTACTGTTGTTGTGCAAGTCAATGCTCAAGTTTTTGGGATTTGCTGGTGGTTATTACTCACCGGTGATTTTCTTATGATCCTTACGCGGTTCAATTCACAAGATAATAACATTACACACCTCTGAATAGTATCAAGAGATCTGCCTTATAGCTTAGCGTCTCGTCATAGCACAGAAGCATATCGGTGTCCAGCACAATTTCAGAGTAAACTATTTACACACATCTCCATGTGCATGAAGGATCGAGCAGTATTCCTAGTCGTATACTCTGCCTCATGCACCTCGAACCCCCACTCCCGTGGGAAAGAGCCATTAGGCACGGAGAAAAACTGAATCAATTGCTCTAAATTACATCTCGGGCTGTCAATAGCTTTACCCGCCGCCTCTAAGCCTGGTGATCTCAGTAGCACTTCCTGATAACTCCCGCTCTAGTCAAATAACCTACCAAGCCCTGTAAACCAGGACTGATATTTCGTTACTCGCTCTCATGCTCGCCCTCCCACCGTCACCGTCCCACCCTGTAGATATCTAAATATCTAACTATCTAAGAGGCTTATAGAATGTGAACCTGCACAAACTGTAATTATCTGAATTTCTAAGTGCAAGAAAATGCAGCTTTTATTTCCAGAAATGCCGATACCACTTTTCGAGATGCAAATTCATCTCGTTTTGGATTCTAGAATGCAAAGTCAGTTATTTCTACATCTCGCGATGCAAAATCACTTCTTTTTTGCAGTTCAGGATGCAAAATGCCAAAAAAAGCCGAAATTACATGTTGCATTTTTCTAAAAGGAAAATGCCACATGTGCATCTTAGTCATTAAGTGCGAACGGGAATACCAACGAAAATGTGAGTGCTGGAAGCTGACTAGTATCTCCAAAGTATTTCTTGCCCATAGTTCAAATTAGAATAGTCATTTGCTGTTTTGTTGCTTTGTATAATAAAGAGAAGTAACGTTCTAGAAGAAATTAGATAGAGAACAACATTTGTAAATAAAGCAGAAAAATAGCTAACAGTTTAACGAAGGATTAATCCCCAAGTACACTACTTCTTTTTTCCCTTTTTTTGTCTTTTGCAACGACAAACGATAGTCCTTGTAACAGCTCTGCTAAATGAATTTCCGCATTTTTTTTATACTTATTTATTAAAAGCTTAAATATTTAGGCCCCTCCTCCCCTCAGAAATGGTGATTTTCTGTCAAAAATCGGTTTTGAGATAAGCACATAGAAAGGTAGCCTGAAGTGTCTACTTTCAGAATCTATATCGCTTTTGGTTACAGAATTGAGTTTTCGGGAATTCTGAGCAAGTTTTCTACGATTCTCGGAAAAGCGGATCTTCAATTTGTAGAGCAAACGTTTCTGATCAAAACAAGACCTCGCACAACTGTGTATGACCTTGCATCAAAGAGTTACAGGCATTTTCCTAGAAGTCCTAAAATTGAGTATTTCATATAGCGTTTTCACTATATAAGAGTTACACCTGAAGTGTGTCCCAAGATTTTTAATAGCGGTTTGTCCTAGAGAGTTCATTCTTTTTTTATTTAAAAGAGGAAAAGAAACTACATGGACTAACAAGCGCCGATTTTTGAATTAGATCTTAGTTTTTTGTCAAATTGGGGATTTTTAGTAAACTCTGAAGGATTTTTCGGATTCTGGAGGTTGTTGGTTGCTTGAAAACCAACAAAGGCTTAATTGAAAAATCAGCGCCGGTCAGTCGATGTAGTTAGGTGTCTAGTTTAAAATAAAACAAATCCGGACTCTCCAGCTTGAAGTATATTAAAAAATCTTGGGACACACTTCAGCGTCCTTTTTGGCCCTTGACCTCTGAAAAACTCCTAAACCATAAGAGGATTCTATTTTATAAAAGATAGATGATGAAAAGGGCGGGATCGGTGAGCGAAGGCGAATACGCACTGAAAAGATACAGCAGGTTAGAGATCTTCTAGTGCCCGAGAACGCATCGAAATACTCTCACCGACTGGAATGAATAGTATATCTGACAAAGCGTTCTGAAAAAAAATAATTAAGAGGAACCAAAACCCCATTCAAATAGCAGTAGATAGAGCTCATAATTCTCTAAAATTCTACGCATTTTAATGGATCCAGAATGTCTTCTTACGGCGGTCTTATTAGAGCAAAAGCTCGAAAATGAGAACATACTCGAAAAATGATACCTGTCAAGATGGACCTGCCGCTTCTAACCCTGTGATCGGACCAATGAGATATTTTCACAAAAACTGTCTCGCGATCATGAAGGTAACTATCTGTAAACAACATCTAGAACCCTCTACTCACAAAATTCGAAATGGCGGTTCTATTTTCGACAAAGTTTATACAAATGGTTATTGCATGTACTTTTTAACCACAGAGAACAATATACTATCCCCATATTTTGTAAACACCACGAGGATCGAGATGAAAACGTTCCTGCGAAAGAATTTAAGCACACGTTACCGCCATAAAGAGTTTATGTCAATAAACGTTAGATGTATTGGAACATTTTCGGGAACGCAATAGAGATGCAACCTGAGCGGGCGCCCGTTCCCGGTCCGGTCAAGACTTTTCAACCGGCTAATTCGACCGTTTTGGATCAAACTGCTAGACCAGGTCCGGTCGACTTGGCTTATAACTAGAAAATATGACAGAAAAAAGCATACTTATATCGAGCAGAAAGCAAAATACATCGGTCGCTTACCGGCCAAATTTGTTGAAAAGTGGCCGATCAACCGGCCGATCCAGTTTGCACATGTTCGCCGGTCACCGGTCATGATTTTTTTAACCGGTAGCATCTCTGTAACGCAGTAGTATTCGAAAAGTATTAACTAGATGAATTGGTTATCTCCGATAATCAAGCTGATTATTACGCTATTTTTACACATCAACATAACGCGCAGGAAAAGTATCCATTTCATTTATGGAGGCAAAACTTCCATCATGATAGTTCTGATTTTGACTGACATAACTTGTTCATCGCAATAAATAAACTCAAATAACTTTTTTCTTATCGGAAAGTATCGCGATAATATTTTTTGAAAGACGAAGATGACACATATCACACTGATTGTTTTCTCACGATAAAGTCCGATAAAACGATTTAAGAATTGCAAGTTTTGAGCTAAAAGGCTTTCATGAAAGAGAATCCGTACGAACCGTTGAATAATGCTACAAGGATACCATCGGCCAGCTTCAATTGACATGTTTCTGGACGAATGTTTTAAATCATAACCCTGTTTTTGTGATCTTCACCATACACCCACTTGGGTATTGGTATCTTTAACTAACTAACTTCTGGACGAAATTGTATAACATTTATAAGAAAATATCCATTTTCAGATGTCATCATATCTATAAATTTTTTTCGATTCGTTTTATTGATAATGGAATCATCCATTTCTTTATATTCAGATGCACTGAAATGAAAAGAATCGTTTTTTTCAGTTCGATTGAGACGAAGACAACCACATTGTTACAATGTCTTTCGTGCTTCTTGTCGATTTCTGTATTCCTCGATCGAACGTTCACCAGAATTTGACGGATAAAGCATGTTATAAACCTCAGCTGTTCGATCAGCTGCACGCATGGTACCCTAAAAATTAGTAAGTAATTAGTTTATCAAAGAAGATATCTAATGTAGCAATTACTTGAATAACAATTACTGATGTTCGTAGTGCAACAGCTTCACACATCGTTAAAATCGATGATTGTCCATCATCTACGAGAATTTGAACGATTGGTATAAGAGATTCTGAAAACAGTCAAACAAAATTATTAACTATCACTGGAAAGGTCGAACATTATTTACTATGTTTATCATCTGTTGTTTTTCTTGCTTCTTGTTCAATTTCCGCTCGTAATTTCAAAGTAAGATCGGCACGACGAGGTATTTCACTTTTATGTTCGTCTTCTTTTGATAATGAATACATTTTTTTCCAATCTCCATCATTCGCACCGCACATATCATCCAAAAGAAGAAAATGTGTATGATTTGTATCCAATGGGAAACTTTCCGTTACCTCACTTTTAGGCAGTTGTCGTGTTCGATACAATCAAATACTATTTCGTAAAGTTTTCTCTAACGACAAATTCGTGTCCGTAGTCGTTGTTGGATCTCGATTTTGTTCTAATTGTTCATAATCTATGATAAGAAAACAAAAAATAACAAGCAGTTTTTTTTAAAAAAGTATTAAAATTAATCTCTACCTGTCGTGTAGTACCAACTACATATGCCAATACAAGGAATATTTTTCTGTCGACATTTATCAATAGCATTACCGACTTCTTTCATAACACCAGAATCGGTACCACCAGTAAAAATCCATGCATCTGCAATAAATAGGTTCACTCTAACTTAAAATATTTTATTCGACAGAAAATACCTGTTGTTAATACAGCTGATATTAGTGCTTGTTGAAATGCATTGCTCATTTCCCTTGTTAAATTACACAATTTGGCACCACCAGTCACAGATATGATCAATTCCGGTGTTGGTAGATTCCAAGCTGTCCGCATAAATTGTACGATATGCCATGCTAATGAATGTTGACTAATCTGTGGAAACAATGGAGTTCTTCTGAGCAATTGTTGGACAGTAGGTTTTGATAATAATGGTGTTGCTATTTGCTGCTGTTGATCAAGAGATAATACCGGCTCGAACGGAAATCGGATATACTAAAGTAGAACCCACTGTTAAGTTTAAATTAATAACTTGTGCAGAACTATTTATACCCATGATCTTCGATCATTTTCTGGAAAAAGTATTTGTCCATAATCGGTCGTTCTACAGAAATAATCAATTTTAACAGTTTATCTTTGCTTGTAACTCACACAATAGTTACTTTCTATCTTCATATTCGGAATTGTAACGCATTACCCACTAAAAGAAAAACTAGAAGGCATCTCGTCTATAGTAAGTACCTGTTTCCTCACTCACCTCATTGACATTCTGATTAATTTTTTCACTGATTTCATTACACGATGCTAATGAAATCATTTTTATTAGAAGAACAGCTTCTTCTCTCCTTTTTTTCTACAACGTAACCGTATAACATGAAAAAATTTATTAACTGTTTAAGTGCAAAATCCCAAGGTGGAAAATAAGATGAGAATTTTCAATGTTTTCGAATGGAATTTCACAAACATCACCACGTGATTTGAGTATACTTTTGTGTAAGGTACCCACAATTCGAATTTGTAGCACTATTTTTTTTTCTTCTCACTTGTACATCGTTGGATAGAGCGCTTCGCGATGAGTAAGAAAATGTGCGTTTTTGCTTTTAAAAGCTTTTTTCAAAAACTTTAAAAATAGAGAGGATGACTCATTTTTTAAAAAGTAAAGTTTTCGACTCCACCATTTTGTGGAATTAGTGGGACTATTTTTTTCAGCGTTCGACTATCTGGGACTATTTTAGTCAGCGTCGAAACGGAGTCGAATGATGTATGTTTCGAAAATCTTCATTAATTTTCGTTTTTTGGTGAAAATCTCAGTAATTTATATACGTCAGAATTCGAAAAGAACTAACGGTGGTTGGGTAAGATAAAAATGCACATCATTCGACTCCGTTTCGACACTGACTCCGAATATGTTACTTTTATTGTATAAAAAGTGAGTTATGGTAGAGAAAATGGAGAATTACGGGTTGAATTCCGATTTTTTCGCTCCTGATTCAGAAAAAATATACTTTTTCAGTAATAAAACAAAATAAATAGAAAAGCGAACCGTACTTTTGTAGGTGAGCTTCTGGCGATTCAGATGAGATGCAAAACATGACTTCGTATCTTACCAGAAAAAGCTAGATAGGTTTGCGAAATTAGCAAGAGACAAATCCATGGTCTCACTAGGGATAAAAGGTTTTATGGTCTTATTACATATGAACAACTCAAATGTACATTTTTAGATTCGGGCTGGGTTGTGAATGAGCCTCTTTTTCTTCTTTTTTTCAGAATCCGTCCTCTTTGTCCTCTTTTCCCGTCATTTTTCTTCTTTTTCGATGAATTTGTTACAAAAATGCGTGTGTTTTATCAATTTTAGATTCGAATATAGTTTTAGATATATGTGAGTCATTTCTTAAGGTGAACAATCTCAGTACAGAAAATTAGAGATAAACCACCTTTATAATCATGAAAATAGACTATTTTCTGTTAGAGGCGTTTCGTCTTTATTCAAAAGAATGTGACAGACGATAGTTGTTGATTCAAAATAAACGATAAAATGAAATACATATGTGTGTACAGGGTGTTGCAAAACCTTTACGCCCCCCTGGCTCGACCTTAAGGTCAAATGATTTCACTAAGTATTTTATACCAAACTGAAGCCCGTAAAAAACTGCATCGATGAGTGCAAATTGCCTGTTACATTATTAAAAGATCTTACACTATATAGCAAAATGTCATAGATCCTATAATGTCAAATATATGAAGGAACTATCATACCGCTCACTGACTTAAATTGTAGCTTATAGAGTTGCCAATTTACTGAAGATATAAATTGCTTAGAAGTAAGTTTTATGACAAAATTTTAGAACCTGGTATGACCTCTCCTGGCAGCTTCGGAAGCATCAAATCTTTTCCTCATGGAACACAGCAAATCAGTAAAAAGATCTGTGTCATCTTCAAGATCGTTGAGTGTATTCTCGAGGTTAGTTTTGAGAACACGTGCTACGCCAGTGATAACGTGCACATATGCACGCATCGTCTCCTTCTCTTCCTTCTCTCTGTTTCTTCCCTTCATTGTTAATCATGAGTAGTGAATCTTTTTCAATTAAGAATAAACACATTATCCAGTTCGTGTACGTATTTTGTAACAGTCGAACAGAACGAGAGCTACTTAGAGTAAATAATACTCTACTGTAAAAGAATACACATTAAAAACACTTCAAAGTGATATAAGCTACAATGCATCAAGAAGTAAGGTATAAATAATTTATGTGGAGAAATGGGTATGATCGTTTTTTCATATATTCGACATTATAGGATCTATGATATTTTGATATATAGTGTAAGATCTTTTAATAATGTAACAGGCAATATCTGGTATAATTGCACTCATCGATTCAGTTTTTTACGGACTTCAATTTGGTATAAAATGCTTAGTGGAATCATTTGACCTTAAGGTCGAGCTAGGGGGCCGTAAAGGTTTTGCAACACCCTGTAGAACGCAGAATAGATAAAATACAACTTTTCCTTTTTTCATAATATATGACGACTGAATGCGTTCTACATAGGCATGCAACAGTTAATAACTGGTGTTAGGGCTTCCATGAAAATTGTTATAAGTCGGCTATAAAGAATTACTTAGAGTCACGGAATCTGTCATTTTATAGAGAAATGTCTGAACTACAATCCTATATAAGTATAAAAAATTCAACGTTATCTGTGATACAAATATGAGCATTCTAAAATGCACTAAAGTTAGAAAAAAACCCGTTCGAACAGTTTTTTTTCCTGTATTTAGTGCATTTTAGCATGCTTACACATTTTTGCTAGAAATTACTTCAAATCTTTTTCCACAGTTGAATTTTCAAGAGCAAACATTTTTCTACAAAATGAGAGGTTCGGCGACTGTGAGTAATTCTTTATATGTGACTTATAACAATTTTCCTGGAAGCCCTAACACCAGTTTTTAACTGGTGCATGCCTAGTTCTACATATATGTATTTCATTTTATGTTTTATTTTGAATTATAAAGGTGGTTTATGTCTTATTTTATAGATATATTCTTTATATTTATGCCGGTACATAAAACGAAACTTAGCCAGGCATGGTTGGAAAAAACGGATCCTAGGGACATTTCTGCAGGACGATGGCTGAAACAAGGTGTGCTTTTTTGTGTGTGAAATAGTGAATAAATTAGGTGAATATCTCAGCAGTGCCGTGTCTTATCACTTCCGAACATACTAATACTTATAAGACCTACAATACATTTTTAGATCGGAAAAAATCCTCTTTTTTTTCTTCTTTTTTCGACACTAATCCTCTGAAAAAAAATTTAGAACATCCTCTTCTGTCCTCTTTTTTTTAAAATGACCGTTCACAAGCCAGGATTCAGGTTTTGGTGCTGAACAAGAGAAAAATAGCCCGAACAAAATCCATAGATTTATTTCTTGGGAATCGGGCGAGAACAGCAATAATTTTGGGTCTTATTCAAATAAAATTAAAAACAAACTATTTTTTAAAACTTATATTTTATTTCTTTTGATACTTGCTCGTGTCATTTTTCCACCTTCGAATTTTACAATAAAACAGTCAATATATATTTTTTTGTAGAGAACTGAATGAAGAATATTTTGGTACAAAAATAAGTTTGATAAACTGCAGGAAAGAGCAGAAACACTAAAAATACGAAGACTGCAATTTTTTATGATATACTCCTTATATCATCAGTAATTGAATCCAACTAACACGCGTTACTTATTGTCACAATAATAATGTACGCAGATATTTTATAGTTTATATAGAAGAGAAATAATTATGATCATACTTTTCTATACGCATCGATAAGGTGAAAAACAATCAGGGTAATAGAGAACGAGGCAGGTTACCTATGATTAGTAAATTTAAACAGATATTATCATGCAGAACTATCAGATAAAATTTTTATTAATGATGTCATACATTTTTTTATAATAACCGATGAAATTATATGTTGTTGAACTGACAACGATCTTATGCTTGACCCAGGAAACAATATCTTGTCAGCATCAGCATAATACGGTGGACATTTTATTCTATGTTAGCCAAACATCTGACTTTTTGGACCAAAAATCATTTTCTTGTCAAATATATCTCTATATGGTCAAAAATGTTTATTTCAACGAGAAAAAAATCGTTTTGTACAGAATTATGTTTTTGTGTAACGGTTTTTTTCTTCTAAACGGTTCTTAGTTATAAATGATTTAATATAGCTCGACATAAAAATACATGTCAGAAAGATTTTGCATTTCGACTACTATCCGTTCCAAAATACAAGGCAGACGGTTGCTTTTTGAGTTACTTTTCATAGAAGATAGATAGAGATCTGCGGTTTCCACTACTCGATAGCCAAGACCTGTACGCATCTTTCCACAAGCAAAAATGATTTTTCTAAAAGATTCAAAGACCGGATTTTGAGCAAATCTTTAGAAAACCAGTTTGGATCTCTGAGAACGGACATAGAAATAGGTCGATCTTTATTAATAGATACATAGTCCAAAGTGTCCTCTGAAAAAGGGGATCTAAGCGAACCCTTAATTTTTTGCGGTTAAAAGCAAAATTCTTTTGCTTGCCTGTTTTACATTTCAGTTGTGAAATGAGAGATTTTTCTTTCAAGACTGAATTTGTTTCCTCGTTTCTATCCTAAACAAAAGAATGAATTCTTCTGTCTTTCGTTCAGCAGAAACTGGAGGTCTTGTTGATACTTTTGGTTCATTCACTTCGGGTAAAGTATCTAAAAGAATTTATTCTTTTTGTAATGATAATGAACATATATAAAATATTTAATTGACGATCGATGTTTTCATTAGATGCCTATGACGATAGAGCAAGCACTGACTTATTTTCGTCGTCAAGTAAACAAATATGCGGAATGAAAGTTTCCAACTTTTCATACCTGCCAACAACAAGATCCTTTTAACAGTTGTTATTGTATATCTGTCAATGCTTCTAACGTCGTTGTGAAAGTGGTAGGAAGAAAATGAAAGAGAAAAATAACGTCGTCACTTTATTTTTCAAACGTTATTTTTATTTAGAAAAAAGTAACAGAAATCATCTAAAGCAACTTTCACTTAGCAGCAGATATGTTTGAGGAGAGACGTGTACACAAAAAAAGCAGTCAAACTTCAACTAAAATAAAAATGAAACGATCGAATGTTTTTTCTCCGGACTGAATCGATTCTCATGGCAACACTGATAAGAAAAACATTATTCTCAAACGTTCAATAAAATATTTTATATATGTTCATTATCATTACAAAAAGAATAAATTCTTTTAGATACTTTACCCGAAGTGAATGAACC